ATGTGCAAACTTTCCCTCCTCTCTCTTCCTCCCTTCCCTCCGCTCTGACTGCTCTCTGATTGTTGGGCTGAGAAAAGTTATCATCAGATCCATCAGTGCAGAGTCACTGCCTGAGGAAACACAGGCCAATTATGGCCATAAATAATAATGGGAGCATGCATCTGGCATGATGACTGATGGGCCTCTCTCACAGCTCATTTACATGGCTTTTGTGTGGCCATCAGCAGCTTCGCTCTAATGTAATGTTCAGCAAACGAGCCTCTCTGAGAATATTGTACAATTCAAGAGTGGAACCAGGACGCCACTTACGGCCAAAACCCACAGACTGAAAACAAAGAAGGAGTGAGAGTGGGGAAAAAGATGTATTTATTGTACCTCTGCATGTTGCCATACTTCCTGTGTGTGTGTGTGTGTGTGTGTATGTGTGTGTGTGTTGATGTGCAGGCCTGGGGCTTGTCTGTGCATGTGTGTCAGACAAAGAGAAGTCCACGTCCATCCATCAGCATCAATTACGGCGACATGGAGGGAGATTGATTGTGTCTGTGTGGTCAGGTAACAAACCAACCACCTCCCACACTTGAACACACACAGTACAGATACTTTACATGTGCCTGCCAGACACCTGTCCTCTTATCCGGCCTCCTCGCTGCCTATCGTGTCATTTAGTGAGTAGCTACGTGAAAAATGATAAGAGTTACTTCAAAACAGAGATTTGCGATCGGTTTTTAATTTCTCAGAATAGGTGTCAGGGGCTTTCAGAGAATCCTTAATCTGTCCTTTGGGTCGGTGGCAGCCTCGTGCCAGAGAACAAAAGGCTGCGGCATGATGACGTGTGTCCCGCGAGCTGATAAGCCTGGTTGTTAATGGTGTTAGGGTAGATTTCATTACCCCCTCCAGACTGCTCTCATTAAATAAACATCCCCCTGTCACATCCCTCACCCTATGAGCAGAGGAATAACCCAGGCAGGGGTGAGGGGAGGGGAGGGACGAGGGAGACAGACAATAAAGTGGAATGTTAATGAAAAACTTGTCAGTCAAAGTCAAAGCTGCTGCAGAATTACAGTGGGCGTTCATGGCTCGCTGTGCTGACTTAGTTGCTTTTCAGCCATGCTGGTCCAGAATAAAACATCTGCTGGATGGACGGAATACTTTCATGGTTCCCAGAAGATGAATCCCACTGACTTTTATGATTCACTGATCCCCCAGCAGCTTGATACTTTGGCTTAACGTCAAATGTCTTGAGCTTATACAATAGGTCTTGACGACTTTTGAATAAATCTACTTTCATTGTCAATGTCAATTTGTTCAGACATGGATCCCAGAGGATGAATCCTAATGATGATGGTGACCCTTTATTTTTTTATCAGCACCACCAGCATGTTATCACTCAAAATAAAATATTGCAACATTTACAGAATAGATGTCGGCATAAAACTTAGAAATTCTTTCCAGAAAGAAAGATGAATCTAATAGGCAAGACTCAGGAAATCCCCTGTCCACTACTTTGGTTTATGAGCAATACCAGCAAATGAAATGATAATTCGCAAAAAAAAAAGTTGAATTGATAAACATTAGCATATTGTGAACAGTGTAGTGGGTCGTGGTTAATTCTGTCTCCTCACAGCAAGAGGTTCCTGGGTTCAAACTCCGGATCCCACAGTCCCAAATTTTGGCCAAGTTCTTTAACAGCTTTCTGCACATGAATGTAGATAGATTTAAAAAGCTGATGCATCTCAGTAAATGTCTTCCTCCTCTTTTGCTCTCCACATGGACTGTTAACCTGTGGGCAAAGCCTGCTCAAACGTTATTGCTCACTTTTAGAAACAGAAACCAGAAGGCTTCCTACAGATTCTGCTTATTCAAATGCTGTTTCCATCAACTGGTGACCTGTTCAGGTTGCACTCTTGTCAAATGTCAGCCAATCCCGGCCCCGAACCTCAATAGCTAATTGATGAATGGGTTAGCATTGTCATCTGCCAAGTTTCCATCCCATTCATCGCTTTAAAACGAGCTTAAAGAAACTGCAAATGAATGCATGTTACCAACGACTATGCGAATACTGAGAATAACAAACACTCTCCTGTTCCCTTTAATTACAGAAGAGAGGATGCAACATTGACGTAATCTGTAGAAAATGATCCATTGTAAATGTGACATTTCTGTTTGTTTCATGTCTGAATAAGAGGAACGTTATAATCTCTTCATCACTGACAGATTTGTTTCCATTTGCAGCTATTTTTTCATCTCTGTTCATTGGTTTTGCATGATGTTTTTATCTTGTTTGCTTTACAAATCCTTTAAAACCATCTGCAACCACCACATGTTGATCTGAAGAAGCTCAGTTTTAATTTACCATCCGTTGAGCTGCGGTGCAGATATACGCAGATGTTACTGTATCATCCAGTCATTTACAATGTCCTCATCTCGGGGGGTTTTATTGTTACTCCCTGACCCTTACTCAGTCCCCCATTTCCACTCCCTCGCCTCCTCAGGAAGCCTTTTCTCTGGGTCTGCTCTCCATCTCTTCCTCCTTCTTCCATAATGTTATTTATTTATTTTTTTGTTTTCTTTGCGGCTGACCTTTCCTCACCCTTCCTCACCCTCTCTCAGACCTCACGTGACCTTGCGCGGACTCTCCCCTCTCTTCATCTCCTCCACAGCTCCTCTCCTACGCCCTGCTCTGACTAATCTATGCCATAATCCTCTCTTCATCTATCAGGGTGCTCTCATTGTTTTGACGTCTAGTTAATTCTTGGCTCATGATTTATCAAATTCTTATTACCGCTCGCTGAAAGCCTCATTCATTGTCCTGATGTATGGTAATGATAGTCCCAGTGTGGCTGCCTGAATCCCAACAAACCCACTCATTTTTTCGTACTTCTTTTTTTTCTCCCCCCCTTCTCTTCATGACTGCCTTTCCTGTGCAAACTGTTTTCTTTTTACTTCGTCCCTGTAGCTGTCTTGTCTCATCTCCCAGTAATGCACACACAGGGATTTGTATCTTTGCACATAGGCACACAAATAAATAAAACTGTCCTCTTGGAAAATGCCTTTACTGTAACGTATAATAAAATGTTCAAACCCTTTTTAACAGCTGTGTTTACTACAAGACAAGTTGTCTGTGAATTTAGGTAAATTAGAGCTTCTTGGCTGCATGTGTTCATTAGCTGTTGACAAGCAATTATCATTGAGAAAGAAAGACAGATTTATTTTTCAAATGTTGTGAATTATCTCATTGTTGGTCAAGATCAGTGTTTATTTTACATGCGGAGACTCATTAGAAGTATCTTGAATGGCAGGAGTTTTTTTTATTTTTATCACATATTATTACGTTTAGTTCTTCAGAGCTCTTACTTAAATACAGCACTTTAAGAATATCCCATTACAAGAGAAAGTACTGCACTTTGCTTGAATAGAAAACAGGTACCATCATGCATATACAGATTGAAAGTATTATCTGACAAGCTCACCCAGATGACTTTGTAGTACTGCTTTGGCAGTTTTTGAATGCTTTGGATTTTGCTTTTATATATCACACTAAAAATGTATTTGGTGTCTTTATTTTCAGCACATTACATATTTGACTAGACAATTAGTATTCTCCCTTTGACATAGTGTGTCAGCATATAGGATAAACGTAATGTGGTTTGACCATGTTGGAGTGAGATTTAAGAAGGTTAAATAAAATGATGTTTTATGGCATACTATTTAATTGGTTGATTAAAACTCACAAAAGTACAAGAAATACAATATACTTCTGCAAAGTTCTGCAGAATGGTTTGCAGAATGTATATTATTGGAAT